GTTTCCCATTTCCCGTTTCATGTTTCCCATTTCTCATTTCCATGCTACTTAGGCGGCCAAGCAAGTAGAAAAGTAAAAAAAAATACAAAAGTAACAAAATAATTAAACTCCTAGACTCCCAAATTCCTTGGTCATCTCAATTTTGTGTTACATGTAGTATATTTTTTTTTTTTTAAATTTCTTTAAGTTATTCGTTTATCAAACTTAGTTTGAAACTTGATCTTTTAAAATGGTATTTACTAACTTGTAATATAACTAATAAGTGCTAAATTATTATTTTGTATTCCTCCGTCCAACTATATTTGTCCCATTTTTATTTTCCGTTTGTACCACTAATTTGTCTCATATCATATTAGGTAACATTTTAGTGACTTTAATTCGTTTTTACTGTATTCAAACTTTACAATTCATTATCAACCATATAACACTACTTTTATCAATCCTTTGTCTCAATCTTAAGGGGACGGGGTAGTAGTATTTACTATTATTATTTTTATCATTATATTATATATGGTGTTATAATTTTCTAATTACTACATGTTTAATTTCATTATTAATTTTAAGTACTATTTGATCTCGGTAGTCATTCTTTGTCTTGGGCATCAAAAGTCCTAGAGACGGCCCAGGACAAAACCATGATAAGTAATACTCACATTATCTTACGGAGTATCTTATTTGTTTTATTTCCATTTGTAAACCATTTGAAAAACACAGTCACTAAATAACAAAATCGAGTTAAGTTGTTCATGCATTCTTTTTGGAAAATGTACAAACAACTGCCCTAAAGGCATTGGTTAATTAAGAAAGTGAAAGAAAAGTCAATGCAATTTTCGACGCGATTTTAACTAAGAATCATCATAAGACAGTCTCTATATGTTTTAATACAGGGATAAGACTGCGTACATCCGACCCCCACCTCACGGTAGGTGAGATTTTGCAACACTAGTGTAATGATGATGATTGGTGAAAGCAACTAATAATATGAAAGGCTAAAAATGAGTGGCAGCGTTTCATTTCTTTTCAATCAGCTATTTGAATTTATTCTCATAGGGGTATATGCCTCCAAACTCTAACAGAACGGGCATTTGTGTTGTTTTTGCTCTTTTCTAAATTACTCACAGAATAGTTTTGCTTTTTCTCTTTCTTTTTTCTTCATTCTTTTATCACTTTGAAGTGGTCCCATTTTATCACTAAACCACCCATTCTTGAAGGCAGTCAAATGATTTTTTGAAGACAACTGCGCAGTTAAACAACGCAATACATTTCGTAAAATCATTTGACTACCTTCCCGGTTGAATTTTTAGCTGAAATTTGGTATGAGTAAACTAGACTTAATGAAGAAGATGCTAAAAAAATTTCATCAAAAAATTCAACCGGTAACCTCCTCAATTGGCAACGGCCGGGCTAAACCTCCTATATAAGAGGCTAATTGAACACTTTAAGTTAGTTCATGTACCTACAAAACGAGAAAATGTCAAAATCCCAACGTGATGTGTTTATATCACTACTCTTATTGTCTTATTCTATCCATAAATTTAGTTTACAGGACAAATGTTCATTGGGTCTTAGCTGGTCTACCCAGATTCGAGAACAAGGATTGGTCCATATATTTTGTGAAAAGATAGACACGTTACTGAGAGGTTGATTATGGTTCCCACGAATGGTGTAAGACACATCACTCAATCTTTGTTAGTGCGTGGGGATATTGAAAGTGGTGAAAACATTATTTGTGGCCCTCACGCATGGTTGAAAATGTCTTCCATTAATTTCCAATTAAGAAGCCACCAATGGCTTTTAATCTTAACATCCAGAAAACGAAGGCCATGCCTTTCTTTACTCTTGGAGGCAATTTTTGTTAGAGCATATTTATCACTGGTCACATAAGTATTCCTAGCAAAAAAATATAACTTCTTTCTCTTCATTTATTATAAATAATGTTATATAGAGTACTACGCATTTAATAATTCTTCTTGCTCAAGTTAGTAGTTCATTTTGGCTAATCATCTTTCTCAAGCAAAATGAAAAGTAATGCTCCAATGGTAAGCTATTAGTTTTAAAATTGCAAACAAGTCATCGAAATGAACCATTCAAGATGTTCTTAGTGTATATTACTCGGTAGTATTTTTCATTCTTCACATTAAGCTCATCATGTTATTGCGTTAACTCCAGTGTAATCATCCACCCAACTCTAATTTTGAATCTAACTCCGAGCGCACATATTGGGGAGTGGTCTAATCATCATCATCCAGTGGCGTATCCACTATGGGGGCAGCGGGGGCAGCTGCCCCCACTCAACCCCAACCCAACCCCTATATATATGTCCAAATTTTTACAAGAAATTGCTCAAATTAAGAGTTAAATGTAGAAAAAAAAATCTAAAATAGGATTAGAAGTGTTTTCTTTAATACTAAAAGAATGAAATGCTAAAAAATTCACTAAATTTTGTTATGTTTAAGACTGTTTAACTTATATTTAGGTAAATTTATTACATTTTATCTGCAATTACATCTTTACATCTTTACATTTTACCCTCCAATTTTTCAAATTGGAGGGCTTTACAGCCTTGTTCATCAATCTTTTGGTATTCTTTGTAAGTTTCATCTTTTTATTTAATGACAATTAATTCTATTCTTCCCAATTCTATTGATTTTTCAATTATGAATTGTGAGTAGTTTAATTAGGGATTTGGGGTTGATGAAGGGGTTAATCATGATGTATGGCTAGATTCTTGATGATTTAATTGCATGAATGCCGTTTAATTTGTGTTTGAATAATTTAATTGATATGTTTTGTAACCTGGAACCACGGCTAGAATTACAATTGCTGGTAGAATAAGTTAAGAGAGATCTAATTTATTCTAGGACACCATCACACACACTTAAACGTTTGCTAAGAGATTAGTAGCGATTAAGGGGTCGTAAGCTTGCTCGTCTTGGCAATAATTTAGGATCTTATCACATGAGAGATCAGTCTGGTCCCCTAATTTATTGTACTCTACGCTGCGAGAACAGTAAGAACTTAGTAATGATTAGCTAGACTCAATTAAATTAATTTCATGTAATTAGGCATGATCTGCCAGAAATCTGGTTACCTCGGAATCAATCACTGTTCCCTTGGTCATTAATTCAATCTTGCACGACGCATTTATTTCTTTTAATCGCTGAATGTAATTAATTCTTGATTCCTTTTTGTCCGTCCCTGTGGAGACGATACTCGTACTTACACCACTATACTACGATCTATTTTAAGTATGAGAAAACTCACATCATAAGGATAACTTCCTTTAACACCTCAACAGATGAGTTTTTTGACACCCCAAATTGGAGTGTATTAAAGTGTATTAACTCACATGTGGCGTTTAGGGATGTCAAAAAAAACCCGACCCGCAATGACTCGCCCTGGCCCGAGACATTTGGGGCGGGTCCGCCCCGCCCCGTCTTGCAAATGGGGCGGGTCCGCCCCGCCCCGCCTATACAATGGGGCGGGTCCGGGTATTAGAATTGACCCGTTCCGCCCCGACCCGACCCGACCCGACCCGCTCAATATATAAATATACATACTTTTTCTTAACTTATACTACAAATATACTTCAACATACATATGTGTGTATACAATAAATCATAAATTCTTTGATCTTATAATATATGAATATATATTAGAATGAAATGCACGACGGATTATCAATGTCTTCTTTATATATATAGAATTTTAATACATTTATTCAATTATTAATATAACTAATTAGATTAACTATTCAAGTTTGAGTAATTTTTTCTTAATTTTGAAATTTTTAGCGTATCATGAATTTGATTTAATATATTGAGTTTTAATTATTATTTAGAGATAAACATTATGTAGATTCAATTGGTAACAACTTTCTACAAATAAAAACAAAAACTAGTTAATTAGGTTGCGGCGGGGCGGACCCGCCCCGCCCCACATGGGGCGGGTCATGGGTCAACAAGTTTGGACCTGTGCAGGTCACGGGGCGGGGCGGACCCGCCCCGCCAAGTCACGGGGCGGGTCCGGGTCTTGCAATACCCGCCCCGCCCCGACCCATTGCCATGCCTAGTGGCGTTCTACCTCCTTCCTCAACTTCCGTTTTTTATTCAGGTAGTCAGTGCTCCTTATATGGTCACTATCTAGTCACTTCGCTGGTGGTCGTCCAAGAAGAGTGAAGAGAACGAACCTGCAAACATGGCTGCTGCTGATGATTGAGATGATGAATGGGCATTGCCTGTCTTAAATGAATCTGGAAGGATGGGGTTTTTCTTTACTTGTGTTCCGATGTTACATGGCACCTTTAATTTAAGGTAGATTCTATGGTACCCCAAATGTACCGTACCTTTGTCCAAATTGATCAATAAGAATGATGCAGTTGAATTATTTAAATCTAAATTAAAAAGCATATAATGATTTGGACCAATCAAATACATGATAGGTACGGCATTTTTTAAATGGGTACCGGAGTTGTCACCTTAATTTAATACCATTTTCTTAAAATGACTTTGGATACTCTGTGCTTTGTTTGGTAGTATTTTATTTTCCTATTGAATACTTGTGTATTTTTTTGTTGAGGGCTTATGCATGTTTGTAATGTTAGTTTTTCTATTTACTCCAAATATATACTCGTATAAAGTTACTGCTCTACGTGATAGGACATCAAATTAGAATTATTTTGAATACTATGTAATTTAAATAAGGTTAAGGTCAATATTGTCCATTTAAGTAAAAACACTTCCATTATTAGCACTTTACTTTTTCAATTATACCAAATAAGATAAAATTTTAGGTGACAACTCCGGTACCCATTTAAGAAATGGGGTACCGTACATATCATTAATTTGATTGATCCGCATCACTATATCATTTTTAATTTAGATTTAAATAATTCAACTGCAACATTCTCACTGTTCATGTGGATAAATGTACGGTACCATGGGTACCATAGAAACTACCCAAATTTTATGTTATACTTACACTTGCTTTCCTCTCCTTTTCCATACATACGCTTCCTCACACTTTTATTACTAACATCTCTCGACACTCCGTCCAAACAAGCGCAAAGTGGAACATATCCCACTAAAATATTTGTCAATGAGCTAGCATCCATACATGCAGCAATCAAGAGCACTAAATGGTCCCTCCAGGCCACGACTAATGGAATAACAAGCTTTCACATAGGTGGTGTAGAGTTGTAGATCACCAGGTAGTGAGAGGAATAAGCATCCATGGCACCTCCTTCAACTCCTACACTAGTGGTGCCCATAGACATGAAAAAGAAGCCACACGAACAGGTGCTGCCGCTGCACAACCGCTGGCATCCTGATATACCATCGGTGGCAGAGGTCGAAACTGGTCAGCTTTTCAGGGTGGAGATGGTTGACTGGACTGGTGGCGCAATTCAAAATAATAACGACGCAATTGATGTCAAAACCTTAGACCTCTCAACTGTAAGTATGCATACTTCCCCATTTCATATCAAGTTTCTTTCGAGGGTATCCAAAATTATTATATATTCTAGTCTTACAAAATAATACGTAGTATAGTTTTAATCATTTTTCTTGTCCCTGATATGCCACTTCTTTAAATGTTACTCCGCAGATGCCTTCTTTTTTAAAGGAAACTGGGATTTCTTTTTAACAATACTAGTTAATACTCGTTCAAAGAAATTCGTTTTTAATTTTAGTGCATGAATCTGAATCGAATCACCAAAGTCATCTGGGAAGTTGCATAATGGTAAATGCAGTGGTAATACGGAGTACTATATATTGGGTCTATTGGTAATTGCAATAACACTTGAGATGTAGCTAGTGAGAAATGAAAGAAATTGCAAATTTCTTGCAGACTGAGATGTAGGGTGAGATGTATAATTTAAATAACCTACCAGCAATGTCTTTCATTCAAGAGTCATTCTTTGTGTACACACAAGGTAAGACGTAGGCTTACATGCCCGTTCTTTTTGTGTGTGCACAGATAATTGTTTTTTATTTTGTAAAGAATTTTTTGGGGTGGAGCTAGGGGTACACACTTTTTGTACACACAATTTGTACACTTGTCTGTCCCCCACAGACAAGTTGTCTGTCCCGACTCATCTCGCGACAGACAACTTGTCTGTGAGGGACAGACAAGTGTACAAATTGTGTGTACAAAAAGTGTGTACCCCAATCTTTTTTCTTTTTTGTATATGGCACACACAGTTCACTTTTTTGAGGTAACAGGCAATTATCCCTATAAGAACAAAAAAAAGGTTGTTTGTACACACAAAAAAACAGGCATGTAACCCAGCATGTGTAAATAGACTTTTCCTTCATACAGTTGTAATTAGGGAAAGTTCCCGAAATAGGACTAAAACAGTTGAAAATTTCAAAATAGGACTGACATGTTTTTTATTCCCAAAATAGGAGTAATTACTGTCAAGTTTGGAAAATACTGCTATGTTTGAAGTTTGGTACTGTCAAAACATGACAGTAACTAGTCCTATTTTGGGAATAAAAACATGGCAGTCCTACTTTGGAATTTTCAAACATTTTTAGTCCTATTTCGGGTAATACCTCTTGTAATTATTGTGTTTTAACTATGTCATATGTTATTGTTCATGTTATTCACAATATAGAAACAATATGATCTTGCTTATGGCTAAGCTGTCTACATTTTAGTTAGGGGTGGACTCGGGCCGGGCGGCCCGACCCGGAACCGGCCCGGCCCGGTTACTGTTTGGCCCGGCCCGGCCCGGGCCCGGTGGGTCCATCGGTTCGGTTTGGCCCGGCCCGGGTGATGGGCGGTCCGGGCTCGGGCCCTGATTAGGGGTGGTCCGGGCCGGATTTTAATTTATTTTTTTTTTTGAAATTTTTTTAAGTTTTGGGTTGGATTAGGTATTTTGGGCCATTTGAGGTGGTTTGGGGTGGTTTGGGGTTGAGGGGTAGGGGGTTAAATAGGAGAACCAAAATAAAATAAAATAAAAAGACCGGTTTGGTCCGGCCCGGCCCGGTTTGGCCCGGAACCGGAACCGGCCACCGGCGGTTCGGGCTCGGGCCCCAATTTTCTGGCCCGGCCGGGCCCAGGCCCGAACCGGGCCCGAACCGCCCCGGGTCCACCCCTAATTTTAGTTATGAGTTGACTATTTAAGTAATTTATTTAGTATTGTTTACTCAGTAGCTTTGTTTAAATATTTATTTTTTGATAACTATAGATTATTTTTGTTTCTCAAAAAGACAACTTTTTCAAATCTTCTGCAGAGTACACATGTCATTTAATGTATAAGTGAGCTCTCTTATACAAGGTTGTGGACTAAGATTATACAAGTGGAGTAAAAGTGTAAAACTCATTCTTAGACATCAAAAGCATACAAGGTTGTGGACTTCATTTTTTCCACTTTCCCTAGCATTTCCAGTGACCCAAACATACCCTCCGAAATGAAGGTGAATTAATTGAGGTCTTCACTCTTTCATACTCCGTATAATGAAAATAGCTACACGAACCAATTTTTATTTTTTCATAAAACTCTTCCAATTTACAACTCAATGTTCCAATTTAATTTTTGAAGATTTCACAACCCTGATTGTTTTCAGATTTCTTAATCTTCATTGAAGGCAAACATATTAAGATGATGATAATAACCTTCTACATAACATTTTTTATTAAAGGAAGTTAGGTAAGACAAAAAAAAAACTGGACTAATAAACACTTGTCATGTTCAGGTGCACTATCTCAGTGGACCAATCAGATTGGTAGACAGTGATGGAATCCCAGCAAAGGCAGGTGACCTTCTTGCTGTAGAAATATGCAACCTGGGACCTCTACCTGGGGATGAATGGGGTTATACAGCAACATTTGACAGAGAGAATGGTGGTGGATTCCTAACAGATCACTTTCCTAGAGCTACCAAAGCCATTTGGTATTTCGAAGGGATATATGCCTACTCACCTCATATTCCAGGTAGCTCAGGGTGGCTTCCATTTCTTTCCCCTAATACTTGAAGCAATGGTGTTTTACTAATCAGTGAACTCTGCTGCAGGGGTAAGGTTTCCTGGTTTGACCCACCCTGGGATAATAGGAACAGCACCTTCAAAAGAATTACTACATATATGGAATGATAGGGAGAGAAAACTTCAAGAAAGTGGTCCTCAATCACTGAAATTATGTGAGGTTTTGCATTCAAGACCTCTTGCAAACCTACCATTGGCAAAAGGGTGTGTTCTTGGCAAGGTAAGGAAAACAAATATTGCATTTAGGCCCAATTTGGTATTGAACTATTGATGTGCCTTGAATCCAAAGCATATTTTCTTCGAAAGTTTCTTGTGTAAATCACATTTGATGTAGCCTGAAAGTCATGGTATATGACAGCTTAAAAGCTGACAAGTCAAAAGATGCTTTCAAACCACAAAACGATGATATAATGTGAACGAATATGATCTTTCCATTTTGAACTAACATACTCAATTAGAAACACATACCAAATTCGTCCCTGTTAATCTTAATCTTTAGTTTCAAATGGGGAGATCATAACATTTGGTAGAATCTATAGAAGCAGCATATTCAAACTTTTATGTGTCTATCAAAGGCTTTGGACTTTGTGTAGATTCAAGAAGGGACACCAGAATGGGAAAGAGTTGCTCTAGAGGCTGCTAGGACTATTCCTGGAAGAGAAAATGGAGGAAACTGTGATATCAAAAACTTAAGTAGAGGTTCAAAAATCTATCTTCCTGTGTTCGTAGAAGGTGCAAATCTCAGCACTGGGGACATGCACTTCTCTCAGGGTGATGGAGAGGTTGCCTTCTGTGGTGCAATCGAGATGAGTGGTTTTCTTGAACTCAAGTACATTTCATTTCTCATCTTTCACTTTCCCCTTCCAAAACCGTTAAAATATATTTTCAGATATTTATTTCAAGCCACCCGGAAGCGATGTTTGAAAGGTCACTTTTAAACCTTGAGGCATTCAGCATCGAATATGCAAGGTGTAGGCCTCAACTTTTACAATTCAAAATTACTACCAATCTGAAATCTAATATCAATCAAACATTGAAAACGAGTCATAATCAAGTAACATAAACTAAATTTATGATGCTTAATTATCACTATCATAAGTTTGCTTTTCATAGAAAAGTTTTTAAGATTTTTTTTAAACTGAGCAAAACTAAGAAGAAAAACGGAGATATTGATATTGTAGAGCAAATTAAATAAATTAAAGAGTTCTTCTGTTGTAATTGACTTGAATTCAAAATGAAAAAGAAAGTAGTAGATGCAGGTGTTTGAACCTCGCAGCAAAGAAGAGCAGAGAAGAAAATGTATGTCCTTTTGTAAAGTTGAATAATGAATTGATCCCATCTTAGATCTCAGCAAAATGAAAATTTGAATAGGGATAAACTAGGAAGTGGAAAGTCAAGCTTAATGTAGCTACTGATTTGCCTTTGTGGGACAGCAGAAAGGAGTGTAAAACTATCTTTGTGGGATGGTAGGAGTAACAAAACTAGTCTGCCTAGTTCTCTAAAAATACTTTCGACCAGATATACACTAGTCAACCATATTGGATTTGCTCTCTATTCACGAAATGAAGTTTCTCCAGAAAACATTTGATAGGGTATTAGCATATCCACTGCTGTTTACATAACGCACCTACTAGCAATCACACCTGATCACAATTGTTTTGTTCTGATTGATTGTTTTAAGGTGTGAAATCATAAGAAATGGTATGAAAGAGTACCTCACTCCGATGGGTCCCACTCTGCTGCATGTAAACCCAATATTTCAGATAGGGCCAGTAGAGCCAAGGTTCTCAGATTGGTTAGTTTTTGAGGGAATCAGTGTCGATGAGAGTGGACGCCAACACTACCTCGATGTCAGTGTATCCTACAAACGTGCAGTGCTAAACGCAATTGATTACCTATCAAAGTTTGGCTACTCTAAGGAGCAGGTCTGCAATTCTACCTCATCTCTAGATATGAATAATAACAATCCCGCAAGATTATGAAATGATGGTTTTTAATTTATTATGGATCAGGTCTATCTCTTACTCTCATGCTGCCCTTGCGAGGGCAGGATCTCAGGTATAGTTGATTCCCCTAATGCTGTTGCAACACTAGCAATTCCCACTGCCATTTTCGATCAGGTACTCTTCAGCTTCCTTTATTAACATTTGCATGTGAAATGGCATAAAACTGGGATCGTTGACGGCATATATTATTAGTACATCCGTTACTAGAAGCAATAACTTCACATGCAGGACATTCATCCAAAAGCCAACAGAACTCCAGTAGACCAGCGGCTAGGAAGGAATCCCGGACTCCCACAGTGTACTTATGATGGAGACTTGCCAACCACTGTAAATCCATGTTCTACAATTTCACACTAGCAGCTGCCTATATGCAGTGAGCATACTTTTTAACATGTACTTGCACAAATTAAAATGTGATAAACTGAAAGGCAACAATTCAAATGCATTCTGCTCGTGCGTTCATTGAAATGAGGTTCATCAATGGATACAAAATGAAAAGGGAACAAATTGTGTATCATTAATTTTGAGTTAAAAGTGTGATACAAAACTGACGCAATTGATTAAATGGTAAGTTGGTAACGATTAAAACTTTTAAATGTCAAGTCTTCAGTCACTACAAATAAGGTTAAGACAAAAAATGCAAGATCAGTGTTACATATATAATTCTATTGCTCAGTAATATATGGAGAGTGTCCGGTGGTGTTGAAGAGAGGTGCATCGGATCCCAAAAGCCCATAACCACAGATCCAGTTCCACACTTAGTACCTGCATAAGAACAAGGACCTAGGATTTATATGGTCGTTGGAGAAAACAAAATTTAGCTTTAGAAAGTATAAGTGGGTCTAGGGATGGACTGGGACGGGTTGGGCCCGGTACTGTTTAGGCCCGGTCCGCTAATATATAGGCCCGGTCCCGGGCCCGATTGCACAATTTTTTTAATTTATTGCCCAGTCCTGGCCCGGAGCCCGACCCGACCCGGTCCCAGTCCATCCCTATGTGGGTCACTTTGTCAGAAACACAAAGCTCGTGAAAGGTTACTTAATCGTTGTTAATCTAGCCAAACAAACTTGGTGCATTGGTGGAGTTTGACCGGTCAAGAACTGTAATCGTCACTGAGTACAAACTACGTGGTAACTCATTTCAAATCTAAGATGTGATTATCATGTTAAGTCTCCCCAGACTTTGAAGAAAGACCAATTAAATCAGTTAAGGAAAGAAAGAAATACAGTGTAGAAGAGTGAGACAGACCTCCAGTCCAGACTTCTTACTAATTAACTCCCTCAATTTCTCAACTGCATATACTGAGCATGCTCTCAATTCTACCTCTTCCTCACTGCCTGAACCAATTTCACAGTTGGTCTCAATTATTTCGGCCAGAGCCGAACTATATTTCAGCACTCCGAGTTTATGAAGCACAGCCGGGACAATATAATCAGCAAAAATAGTTATTGACCTAATGTCACTAAACTCTCCATATCGTTGACCTTTAAAAGAACCCCATAAATCTGCCACAAATATTTGAGCTCTTTTATACAAGAAAGTCTGGCGGCCTTTGTAAACAGTGTGATCACGGAAGCCTGCAGTTTAGAGACTAAAACTATAAGCCGCCTTCATCAATGTATAGTGTACTATGAGTTCATCAGTTAATATGATGGATGATAAAGATGTGAAAATATATGCTAAAAGTTGGGGATCAAAAAGTGAAAAAGAAGTACCAGGAAAGTGGCTTGTGATTAGTCCAACAAGCGTTGTAGCAGATTTTCCACAAGACTCCACCAGATTAGATGCCTTCCCATCAAAACTTCTCTCGAGCTCTGTCCCAACCTAAGTATATTTGAAGGAGTGTTATATTAGAAAGAGAAAACCATATTTCAGCAAAATGCATGAGTATGAGGCAGTGTTTCAAATATTAAAAGTGATACCTCATGCAATAGGCGGACTCGTTCATCTTCCAATGGTAGGGGCTTGGTCCATTTCAACATTTTCCGTAATTGAGGACCTAAAAACAGTGTCAGGTGCATTGATGTTAGCTGAAGATAGATCTCCCTACTAAGACCATGTTGACCTTGAAGCACTAGGGTCACAATTCTACAATGATGGCATCATGACATTCCATGCTTTATAATATTTCCTAAGTGCCTTAGTTTGCATATTGTTTCATTCACTTGAACTCTTGATCCCCAGCCTCAAAAATAAAATTTCTTTATATCTTACTTGAGGGGGGGGGGGGGGGGCATTGATTGTTAAATAATAATGTGCTATAAAACAATTTGATACCTGTATACATCTTCAAACGGTCTGCATCCAATGCTGATTTGTCATTTTCAAGAGCTTCCTTCAAACCAGATGCCAGATGGTCATAACATAATTCCTTATCTACCAGTAAAGGAAAATCAAATATCAGGAGAAAACAGCAGACGATAATAGGAGTAATAACAAAGTCCACACATTACAAATTACAAGGTAAGTAAAATTACAATACACTGATTAATTTAATAATCATCTCATCTAATGAAATAATTGGTGCATCATAGAACGGGTTTAATTGAAAAGAGTTCAAACAAGGTTACAACAGAAAAATAACACTACACCCAATATTTCTGTCTCTAGGAAATAGATGCCCATCACATTGTGTTCATGAGAGAAGTGATAGTACTGTAGTACTAATTGCAGCAACAAATGGAACAAGGCAAAATTGACCACCAAAGAAGCGGAAAAAGCATAAGGATAGGCACAAAAGACATAAAAAGGCAAACATTTTAGCTAGATCAATTTCAAAAAACTGTAGTGTTTAAGTATTTAACTTGGGTAAATGTGTTATCTATGCAATACAATAGTAAACATTAACAGTGTTCTATTTTGTACTTGTTCTTTCCCCCATGCATCACTAGATTGACTACCTACGTAGCACGGAAACTCGCGGGAAAGAGTACATTTCTGTTTTGGAAACTCTTTAGAAAATCTCCAAACAAGAGTTTTTGAGCAAAAGTTGACATTTCCTGTTTCCCATTTCCCATTTCCCATTTCCTCATTATTTTCGTGTTTCCGTGCAACATAGTTGACTACATGATGTACAGAATATTACTATTGTACATCATCATAGTTCTCATTGTTTCCGAATGTGTGACCAGAGCCATTAAACGGTTTATAGTTATAAACAAAATGCGTTAGTAGTCCATAACAGCTACTCCCTCTGTTTCAACTTTCAATAAATAAAGCCTTGTTTTATATATGTAGTGATGTACACAGTACATATTTAAAATTTTGTAAGATTTAGCTTTCATGAATTTAGCTGTTGGATTGACTGAATTTACCATACTTAACTGGTTTGTGAGTCTCTTTTTTTTTTTTGTAAAAAAAAGTGTCTGAAATAGGACGATTGGAGTAACAACTTTATTGATTCTAAAAATGATCGATACCTGGCCAGAAACAGAAATTCAGCGCATCCAAAACGAGAAGATACTGGACAGTAAGCGGCCCATTGTCGAAAAAATGAATGCCTTCAAAGTCCCACTCAACTTTGGGAAGTGCATTTTTCATTGCCTCTGCGACTTTCTCTAGTCCTGCAAAAAGATCATTACTTCCGTTGAATGAAAAACTACTATCCGTTTTCAGCATGCATTGTAATGCTTCATATACTGGAATGTAGACTTACCGGCTGAATCGACGGCTACGTGAGAGGAATGAGCGGCGACCCACGCCGTGCTAGCCCTAACGTCTTCCATTGCCATTGCAGCTGCCGCCGCCACAGACCGCCAAAGTGATTTGAACCCTAGTGTCGATGACTCTCTGGATGAACCGAAGTAGAACGATGTAGAATTTCCTAAACAAAGGTTTCGCGCTTTTGTTGGCCCATATACTTTTTATGTCTATTTTTAAATAAAAAAAGGAAAAGGGACAAATAAGTCCATGTACTAATAAAAAAAATTCAAATAAGCTCTTATATAGAAGGTTATGTCCGGCCGTCACCATTTGGGGCGGTTTCCGGTGTAATTTTTTAATAGAAATTTTTTTAGCATCTTATTCATTACGTCTAATTTACGCATACCAAATTTCAGCTAACTATTCAATCGAGAAGGCATTCAAATAAACTATTGAAGATGACTGCGCTTTTAATCGCGCAGTTATCTTCAAAAATTCATTTGAATGCCTTCCCAATTGAAGCTTTTGCTGAAATTTGGTATGAGTAAATTATACTTAATGAATAAGATGGTCAAAAAATTTCATCAAAAAATTCCACCGGGAACCGCCCCAAATGGCGAAGACCGGACATAGTCTCCTATATAAGGGCTTATTTGACTTTTTTTGGTTAGTAAGTGGGCCTATTTGCCCCTTTTCTCTGGAAAAAATTATCTTACATTTTTATCCACCGGAAACCGTTGCTCACTTGCTCTAGTCTGGTCTGGTAAATGTATGGTTGTTGTGTACTACGTATTTTATAACTATGCAAATGATCAGATCGGATCCATTTAAGATTGGTATAATCTAGTCTAGGACTGAATACGAAGTATAATTCAAGTAAAAATACATCCTAAATAATGTTTTGCTTTTTTACATTAACAATAACACCAAACATTCATTAAATTACAATATATTGAGTATATATAAATGAGTGAAAAGAGTATAAATGAGTGAAAAGAGAATAGGATTATACTCCTTACACAACTACATATTTACATCGATCTCTATAACTATCGTAAGATATCATACATTCGGGTGTACTTATATACCCGGATAATTTTGTAATCATATCTAATTTGAATGGCAATAGTTCTTCCATGTGCATGATCACTGCGTATAATCTTCTATGCGGGGTGCATGCCTTTGCTTTCTTTAAACTTTTTTCCTACAATTCTTTTTGCATCTACGTTTCTTCCTTGCGAATTCTTTTTTTTTTCTTAACAACTTTTTCCATTATTTTACGAGGAAAAATAATTAAAATACCCCAAACTTTAAAGGGGTGTGAGATAAACACCCCAAACTTTCATATGTATTTTAAATACCTCAAACTTTATATAAAAAGACATTTTAACACCATGGTCATGTATTATTTCTTTCAAAAATGTAGATTTATGGTGTTAATTGCATAATTTAAAATAGCAAATTGAAAATGATGCAATTATATAGAGTGTGTGGGGAGGGGGGGAGGTAGTATTATTTTACAATAGAAGTTTAGAATGTTAATTTCATCTTCATGAATGCTAAAAAAATTCAAAATATGCAAATAACGCCATAAATTTACATTTTTGAATGAAATAATACATGAACGTGGTGTTAAAATAATTTTTTATATAAAGTTTGGGGTATTTAAAATACATATGTAAGTTTGGGGTGGTTACCTCACACCCCATCAAAGTTTGGAGTATTTTAATTATTTTCCCCTAATTTACGTAGTAATTTATAAATATGTGCGATATATAATGCGTAACTTAACGTCCCTGATTGCTTTTCTTTTTCTTTTTCTTTTTTAATTAACCTTCCTTTATAACTTAAGTATTTCTTGAAGTTGTGCATTATAAAATATTTTAGGTATCAATATTTTTTCTATTTTATTTTTTAGATGAATATTTGTTAATTTAATATATTTTGTGTGTTAGTTATTTTAACATTGTGAGCTCATTATTAACATGAGTTTTGTGTTATTTTGAAATGAGCATAGCGTAAAAATAAATGTTCATGAGTAAACATTATACATTATAAAAAGTATATTATTTGCAAATGATATACTTTTGAATGAGTTTTATCTTATACTCAAATGAGTATAATGTTTACATGTAATGTGTATTGATATAATGTTCTAAAATGAATACTCATGGAGGCTGTTAAAATGAATGTTGTGTTGTTGTGTTACACAACAATGAGTGTAACGTTTAAAGTAAATGTGCATTGATGTAACATTAATGACTATTTGATCGAGCACATTGGAGATTTCAAATGAGCTTTTGAATATTTCGATGTTCATTTTGTAAATTATGTATACTCATTCTGTACTGGTTTTATGCTCATTTTAAAACGTGATATCAATGTCGATGAAACTCACACAACTAGATTGGAGCTTGCTCACATAATTTCAACACGTACGAAATAGTATAAATGAGCATAGGCAAATGAGGATTTGAGCACATTAAAGATTTCAAATGACCTTTCGAATTTTTCGATACTCATACGTCACGATACTCAATTGCGGGTTTTTAATACTCAGTATGTGAATTTTAATGCTGAATGATAATGTGTTGATACTCAACTAGTAGAACTTATGATTTTCATGTCAATGCATATTTCAAAAGTATAATATTGAATTAAATTCTCATATTGGAATTCATAATGTTTGATTATAAAAAGAATTTAGTAATTTTTTATAAAAGAAAAAATAAGAAAAGAAGGTAAATTATACAATATGAAGCAGAGATCACGATGCTCAATATTAGACTCCTAATGCTCAACAGAATTGATCTGATGCTCAGTAAAAGTTCATTAATGCTCATTTAGCAGAAACCGTGATTTTCATTTCAATAGAGGAGGTTCGATGCTTATATGTAAAATGTCATATCAATGTATATTTAAAAAGTGTCATATTACATTAAATTCGTATATTAAAATTCATAGGATGGAGTTGATATAGATATAATTTAATAATTTTTATAAAAGAAAAAATAAGAAAAAGAAAGTGACTTAGATAATATGAAGCACCATTTGTGATACTCATTACTTGACTTCTAATACTCAATACAATAGGTCAGATGCTCACTACAAGTACATTAATGCTCATTTAACGAAAGTCATGACTTTTCGTTTAAATTATAAAAATTCCACCGAAAAAATTGGCCCTTCTGTTTGTTTTCTACCTCAAACATTGGACCTTTTGATTATGGGATGTACGGAGTATTAGTTAATAGGCTTTTTTCCTTAATTGGAATGGATGTACTTGTACACGAGGATGTAGGATTAGGCTCCCTGTAACTATAACATTGATACTTGATGAGGTCGTGCACTTATGGAGAAAATAATTTTATGTGATTGATATTGAAAATAATTTAGAACTATTCCACTACATAAATGTTGCTAAATTTGGTAAAGCACTCTAAAATAGGTTTTATTCGCTTGTTTGAAAATGAATCTTGTAACACTACAAGAAAAAGTGTTTTTTGCGCCGACAAAAAGTTGACACAAAAGGTTAAAAGTGGACGCAAATACTTTATTTGCGTCGACATGTGGACGCTAATTGGTTGACGCAAAAGCCTCGACGCAAAAGCATTATTAGCATCCACTTTGGTCGACGCAAATACACTTTATCTTTTGCATCAACATTGTCAATGCAAAATGCGTAAATCTGAAAAAAAAACATCATTTGCGTCGACATGTCGATGCTAAAGGTGTTTTTTTCCAAAAAATAAAATAAAATAAAATATAATTACAGGATTTTTGCATTAAAAAATCTTGATATACAGAAAATGAGTAATCTAATTTATTAAATAAATAAGGGTATTCATCATCAATTAAATAAATTTGAAAAAACTAACTACCATGTGTTCAATAGTTTTAGCATAACTCATCCAAAAGAGCATAAATACAAGTTCAAATAGCCAAGCATGGATAATATAACATACGGAGTACTAAATTAAATTAATACAATGTAAAATTGCTATAATGTAAAAAATGTAACCAATGGCATATTCACCTTTATATTATAGGCCTAAAACATGATTTTAAACCTATGATAAAAGACAAATGGACAGGATTTAAAACTACTCTGGAGTAAAAGTCATGGATTAGAGCACTACTTCCCCCTGAAAACTCAAATGCAGAGGAAAACCTATCAATTCAAAAAGGGTGGCATCAAGTTTCAGTAGTTACTTCTCAAATGATGAGGAACATAGCAAGCATAGTGGAGACAAAAACGGAAAAACCTTAGGAAAGACACAATAATCAGACCGAAGAACAAATCATAAGTCTGTCAATGCCTCATGAAACCAAGTAGCATACAAAATAAAGGAACGAAGAAAGAATTACCAGCCAACAGTGATCTCCTGTTGGCTGTCCCCGTGCGGACTTGGTTAGTTGGGCAAATCTGTCATCCCGAACGTGATGGGCTCCATCCTTCCCTTCTTCTGGGGTGGGGTACGTGGACACGGAGGCTACGTACAATCCCCGCTCGAACCTTTTCCGTTCAGCGGCCGTGTCTCCAGTTTCTCCCCCGCCGAAGATGACCTTTATCTCTACCCTCGGTTTTTTTTCTGGGTTCCCTGAGCCCTCTGCCTCCTCCCTGGGTGGTATATATACATCATTCTTAAGCTTAGCGTCCCGTTGGTTGTCTCTCCTCCAGCTGTTGGGTTTTTTATACGGGCGTTGGTTCGGGGAGGGGTTGTTCGGGTTGGTGTTTACGTACTTTGTAACGGACTCAAAATTTACACATTTAAAAAAAACGAAAATAAAAGTAAACATATAAGATTTAAAATTCTTTTAAAAAAATGACGAATGAAACAATTCAATCAAATTATATTGAAATAGACAAGTATGACTTTGACGATTGGACTAAACTAATTAAAGAAGACTAGTACGTACTTAGGCATTTAATTATGTAGCTAACCCATTACGGAATATTTTTAGTTAAATAATAACAAATCATGAATTAATGAATTGGTAAAGGACATGTGGCTAAGAGCTAAAACACTAGGCAAAAGGAAAAGGGTACGTGGTTTGCAAAATTGGAATAACTCCAAGGAGAATACAGAAGAAGCAATAAATTTACTACTCATGCAAATTAAATGGCATTCAAAAACAGACAAGTAAATACGCAGCATATTACATGCTTCCAATGACACATGGCTAAAGTTTGAGCAATGAACTAATTAATTAATTAATAATAAT